GAAAATGGAAAATGAATTCCTAGTTCTAGGGAAAATGAAGGCTATCAAACATAGCCCGAGTCTTCTAACAATTCTTTTGACATTGAATTCAAAACTTATATTTTAAACAATTTGATAGTCCTAGAAGAAAATCCACGAGATTTTAAGGTTATGAGCAAATTAAAATAAAATATTTTTTTAGGCTTTAAAAATGATTTTGCCTCATTTTTGAAATGTTCGAATCCCCAACTCGTCGAGTCCAAAATGTTCGAACCAGATTTGAAATCATTTTGGAAAATTTATAACACGAAGTTGGTTGAAATGGATAAAACAATAATGTGTCAATGGTCTAAAGAAAAAAAACATTAAACCAAACATCTTGATAATCAAATATAAATGAAATGAGATTCAAATAAGTCATCTTTAGATAGATGCATTTTCTTTTCATTTCATAGGTTTTGTCCCCAATCTTCGAAAGATAAAACCCTTTGAATTGAATTTTTGAGAAATCAATGTAGTTTTTCTTTTGAGGATTTTGAATATGAGTTATTGTGGGTGATCCTAATTTGATTAGGATAGCTTTATAATAAGTTCGGATCTTTTTTATATTTTTTGGCACGAAATGGAAATGAGGAGAAAATAAATTTTGAAGACATTCTTTAAGAGAACAATATATATGGACCCAAGAAGTTTACATTTCAAAAACAGGAATTTGAATAGGTGTTGTGAAGTAATGAAAAGATGTTGAAGGGTTGATATCTGGTAGTTTTTCAGATCCAATTTGAACTTTTTTTTTTTGTAATTTGAATGTTTGTTTTCTTCAAAGATCTTTTTACTTTGAAGTATTTGAATAAATGGATTTTTTTGAAGCAATTGTGGTTTTTTGTAAAGTAGAATAACTTTGTGCTTCATTATTTGAATCATGAAAAGAATTTTGAATGTAATCTTCAATTGAAAGAATAGGGGGGTGTTTGTTTTTTATTCTCAAATTCTACAATAAATCAATTCTCATTTTCAACCACACATTTTTCAATAAAATAATATTTTCCATCACATCAATAATTTTTTCTTCTTTTTCAACCACACATTTCCCATCATATTAATATTCAAAAATNCTTTATAATAAGTTCGGATCTTTTTTATATTTTTTGGCAAGAAATGGAAATGAGGAGAAAATAAATTTTGAAGACATTCTTTAAGAGAACAATATTTATGGATCTAAGAAGTTTACATTTCAAAAACAAGAATTTGAATAGGTGTTGTGAAGTAATGAAAAGATGTTGAAGGGTTGATATCCGGTAGTTTTTCAGATCCAATTTGAACTAAAAAAAAAAACATTAAACTTACAAACAAAAGAAGTTTCTAGAAAAATGAAACTTCATAAACTTATTTACCTAAAAAAACTTCGTTAACACCAAAAAACATTTCATCTTATTGAAACACGAAGTAATAAACTTAGTAAAAAAGAATTTTGAATGTAATCTTCAATTGAAAGAATAGGGATTGAAGATTTTTTCTTGTTCTTCCACGAGGAAAAAGAATCCATAACTCTCAACTGTTTCTCTCAATTTTATTTTGCAGGAACTCTATAGTTAAGAAATCTGCAAGAAAGTTTGATTTACCATGTATATATAGAATTTCGAAATCAAAGCACGATAAGATGGCTTGTCATCTTGCGAAAATCTATTTTGAAATGAGGTTTTTTATGTCTTTTTGTAAATCGTCATTTGATGCTTTGCAATTTATTTTTAAAATAAAATTTTTTTGATTAAATTATCTTGAAATTTTGAAATACATAAAACAATTGCTAAAATTTCTTTCTTGATGGTGGAATAATTTCTTTGAGGGTTAGTACAAACACCAGAATGGAATCTAACTAGCTATTTTTTACTAGACTAGACTTGACATGAATTTGTTTCAGGACTCCACCAAAATCTATATCAAACGTATTAGTTTCTACAATAATAGAGGCTGTGAGCTTTAGGATTGATAAATAAAGTATACTTTTTATAGAATCTTTAACTTTTTATGCCGCTAAATTATACTTATGACTCCAAAGGACCGAATTCTTTTGTCGCCTTTTGAAAATAGAGGCGCATAGTATCCTTATCTCTTTCATAGAGTCGGACACATAATTGACACCCCCTAAAAACCTCATCAAGAAATTTATTGGTGAAATCAATACTTCTTTGAGTTGGAGTTGGCCGCGGGCACTTCGACGACCAAGTCAGTTGGAAGAGTTGTTATATGAGCGTGAGAGAGCTTTAAACGTGAGCTTCCAATATAATAAAAACAGGTTGGCTTTGGAGAGAAACAAATAAAAGATATGGTAGCAAAAATATAGTTTTGAGAGTCTAAACTTGCATTACCTTTAAATGTCACTAAGTGTGAGCTTTTATACTCGAATATGGCGAATGAAGGTCGTGGGATGACAATGCACATGGCCTCATCCAAGTGATTACCTTTCTTGTCGTAGATGCACATGATTTCATCCAAGTGATTGACCTTTCTTGTCGTAGACATTAATCAATCACAGCCTTAAATGCTAATACCATTTTTCGTACCCATAAGACTTAGTATCGGCCTTGGACTGTACCAAATAGGTTGGTGGCGACAATGACAGTGAGTTGTCTTGTCAGTTATAATAATCCGTTTAGGATCTCTTCACCACCCGTCCTGGACCGGCTCTTCCCATGGGGTTCGCTCTAATGGGGTCAACCTAGCTTCATTTCGCGGGAGGAAATAGGTCTTGGCACTTGAGGGTCGGTCCAATTTCGCCTCATGTTAGTGTACAGAACGTGAGACCACGTGTGAGTTCTTGTGTAGAGAGACGTAACATCTCTTGTACTTAAATATTAGTACATTATTGATAATGCGTTCTTCGTTTTAAGGCTTGTGTAGAGGGGGCCTCGTCTCTTCATAGATGCAAAGAAATTGGAAAACCCTCATCCGTTTGGAAAAACATTTATTAGTGATTTAATTTAAAAATAAATTATAAAAAAATAAATAGTACTTAAGAAA